TGTGTAATAATTCTTTAATCTTTATTTATTTATTTTATTATCAATAAACTATTTTATTATTTACATCTGCGTGATCTATAAATGATAGCATGATATTTAAACATTTGAGTGAAAGCTACAAGTCTGTGTAATACATAAGTCTTAGCGATAAGTTGCAATTTGAGTATAAACTTACAAGACAATCAGATCTTTGTATTTAATCTGTGTAAAGACAATCAGGTCTTTGTGATAGCTTAACATCTTAGTGAAATATTAAATCAATACGTCTGAATGACACCAGTTATAAGCCTAGGACTTAGGAATAAATCAGTAGATTACTATATACATTAAAAAGAAATAACACTCTGACATCCTGTCTAACAGTTGTAATTCGCAAGAATTACACGTTAACAGTATCATATAATAATAAAAAGGCTCAAGGTGTTAAGCGACTTGCATTTCATTGTATGTTAAAAAAATATAGCCTTGAATCAAATAATACAATTCAATCAATTCTTGGTCTTTATAATCCTCAAATAATTACTAAACTTCAAAAACTTGTTCATGAAAAGTTTTCTTTACGATATCCAACTATTTTTCGACAAGAACCTTTGGTTATTTTATTAGAAAATTCACGAAATAATGCAAAAAAAAGAAAAAATATTGCATCGTAGTTTAAAATGAGGACAAGAGAAAATTGATAGCTTTTTATGTGAAGATAATAGTAATAATAGCTAAAACATTCATTTGAAATTCAGATTGAATTTAATGGAAAGGTTTTATCTCCTAAAGAAACACAAGTTCTGATGTTGAAAAATTTAGAGTATAAACAAACAATTTATTCTCAAAACAAAACAATCAAAAATTTAAAGGAAAAGATTACTACAATAAATAATAAAGCCGAAAATATTATTAAAACTGATATAACTGCACTTAATAATGCAGAAATTTAAAAATCAGTAAAAGAAGAAATAGAAGAAAAAAAATTGGGATCAATTATTTTTATGAGTATCTCACAATATCTTTCTGTTCTTCTTTCACTATCTTATCCTAATTGTCTTGATCTTATTGCATCAAATCGAAAATTTTATACCAAAGTATTGGAATTTAATATAACTTGTATGATTATATGTTTTCTTTGTAAAACATCAACACAATATTCAAATGAAGATTCAAAAACAAGTATTCTAATTTAGTTACAGGGGCCGCACTTGCTGGAGAAATAAGCAGAAATTCTTTTCAAACAGCATTGGCAACAATTGGAGTAACTAATCAATATTGCAAAAAATCTTATTATAATTGCCAAACTCGTATGTACAAGCCCATTATTGATAGTGCAAAATCTAGTTGTAAAGTATTATTATATGAGATTTTAGATCATTTGGAGTTAACTCATTCACCAGGTCAAGAAAAATTGCTACTTATAGGATTTGATTGTTTGTGGTCATATTGTTGTAATGCATACCAAGCTAGTGAAGAATTCTTGTATTTGGGTGACATTCCTGGTATATAAAGAACAGTTTTAATATTAAACAAAATATATATTTAATTAATTAAATAAGGTTTATTATTAGATATAATTATCAGATTTTATACAGTAAAAAATTCTCGTGTAATATGTAAATCTGAAAATGAATCTTCAAAAATAGTCTATAAAGGAAATTTTGATGAAATGTCAAGACAAATAGAACATGCAATTTTACTTGCATTACTTAATAATATAATACCTATATTAGAAGAAACTGATTTTACTTTACATATATATATAGATGGTGACCTAGAAACTAATCAGACTTTAGCATGCATTCCTGCAGTAAGTCACATATTTGCTGATCTGAAACATATTAGTAAAAATATTCGAAAAAATCTGTGTAAGTAAATTATTTTTTTTTAAAAATTATTTTAGTACTATAAGTAATATATTAACTAAAGTCTTATTTATATATATTAATAGTAAAAAAGCAATATTTACATTGGCATCCTTTTGAATAATATATTATGCGATATTTCAATTCTTGTATATTTAGTGCTGGACTTCAAAAAATACTTAATCAAGATAATGCTTCAACAGAAGAGGAAACACAATATATACAAGTAAAAGGTTTAATTCAACATCTACTTGATGATTATAGTTTATGTTGGAGTGATGTTGTTGGATAAAGGATAATTCAGAATTGCAATTACAAAATCCAACTTTAAAAAATTATACTAAAACAGAAATTGAGAATTTTCAAAATGTCATGACTACAATTTTTTGTGTACTATCTGGCCAAGGACTTGTAACTACACTTCACACTTTACATAATGAAACATTCAACAGAAAAATTCTCAAGTACTTAGATAAACGGATTGACTATTAGGCTTCTTAAAGTATTTGATATGCATTAGCAGTTCTTGACCAAATGATGGATTAGATGTTATGATTTCTAAAGTTTATACAGCGGCTACTGGAAAGGATTTTTCATATTCTGATTTATATAATACACAAAACTTTGTTAAAGAAAGATCTAAAATAGTTCTTAAAAATTGAAGTACAATTTAACAATGAAATGAAGCAAGAAAAAAAAGTTTGCTAATGATAAAAAGGAACTTGCTGGCTTTGATTTTGATAAGGTAAGATAATATTGTAGTTTTTTATTTTATATATAAAATGCTTATTCAAAATACTTATTATTATAGGAATTAGTATCTTATAAAAGTAAAGCATCCAAACAAATTCGTAAAGATATATTTTAGCCATTATTTAGTGATATTTTAAGAGATTTTGATGTAATAGTAAAATGTGTTGCATGTTATGCATTTGCAAAGAAAAGTACACATAGTTTGTGTAGTTTATGTTCATTTTATATAGATGCGGGTTTGTGAAAAAGAATTATTTATGATAAATATATACCTAAGGACAACAACCAGAGCCACCTAAAATAGAGACATTAATACTACTTGTTGCAAAAAAGATTTTTGGGTTTGATAATTTTTGAGAAGGGCAAATAGAAGCAATTATTTCTTATTTAAGTGGTAAAGATATATTTATATCTATGAAAACTGGCAGGGGTAAAACTTTATGTTATGCCTTATCAGCTATTTGTTTTGAAGGTTTAACTATTGTTTTTAGTCAACTAAAAGCACTTATGAATGACCAAAAGGTTAGAATCTTAATTATACACTATATTATATTTTTATACTTATAATAAATATTTTTTTTATCTAGAGAGAACTCATAAATGCAGGTATTTTATATGCTACACTATATGCTAATTTAGTACAAGGAGCAAGCATCTAAGAGAAGATCTTTGAAGAAATTATGTGTAGATTAATAAAGATACTGTTTATTATACCTGAAAAACTAGTATTTAATCAAGGATTTTATAGATTTATTACGCAACTTTATGAACAAGAAAAAGTTCATTTTGTGATTAATAAGACACACTGTATTGTGGCATATCAGGATTAGTATTAATTAGTAATATAATTCTAATGTATTATAGGGAGGCTTGGGGACGACTTGGAATATTAAAACAGAATTGGGAATTGACTCCAATTATGCTACTTACAGCAACATGTATGCGATCTGAAGTTAATGAAATCTGTACAAACCTGACTATCAAAGATAATAATTTTGCATTAATCTATAGCTTTACAAGTTATCGATCAGAAATAATCTTTAATGTGTAGGAAGAAAAGAAATTTAAGATCAATATATTATTGAAATTATAAGTATTATAAATGATAATTTATCTGAACGTATTATTATATATTGTGCAATCCATTTTAGTTGTGAACATTTTTATAATAAATTACAAGAAAAATTTCACTGATATATCAATAGATTATTTCCATGGTGGTTACAAGATAATGAGAGAGAAAAGGCAATGAATAATTGGAAATTTAATCATACGCAAATAATGATCACGACATCTGCATTTGAAATGAAAATAAACTCAAATAATGTATGAGTGGTGATTCATGTAGAAGCACCAATGAGTATGAGTATGTATATAAACTTATTCTTTTCTATTTCTTATAATATTCTAATATTTTTTATATTTTATAGCTGGTCTTATTCAGGAAGCGGGACATGTAGGACGTGATGGAAATATGGTAAAACATTTTATTTTTTATAGCAAAAAAGATATTCGTATAAATTATTCTATAATTGCAGAGCATCGGGAAACATTAGTAATAAGAATAATTTTTTAATGTTATGTTAAATATGTATGTGTTAAAAAGATAAATAAAAAAATATACATTTAAAAAAAATATATACAACTGACTAATTATTGATTGAAATATCAATATATATATAGCACAAATATTAATATTGAAGAGCAAAGATTGATTAATAAGCTTGAATGTGTTGCCAGAAAATTTTTTGAAGTCTTCTACTATTGCAATTCACAGTATGAATGCTGTCAACAACTAATTTGGCAATATCAAGCATGGCCAAATGAACAAAAACCCATGTATGTGAAATATGCAACAATTGTGTTAATCGAAATACTGATAAACCAAAACTACTTGACGGCAAGAAAGAAATCATAAAGTTGTTAGAAATGGTAGAATATCTTACCCAGAAGACAAGTGAACAAATTGGTTCAGACAATATAATAGATATATTTAGAGGTGGAAAAACTGCAAAGATAAAACAAAAAAATTGGAATACTTTGCCTGTATATCTAACTGAAAAAAAAAGATGCTAAAAACTAAAGACTTGGTTCAATTTGCCTTGACTGATTTAGTTGTTCGTGGTCTAGTTCAAGAAAAGATTATATTGCAAAAATCATTTGAAGGTAGTAAAAGTTTATCTAGCTGTATTATTGTAATTGGAGTAGTATCAGGTACACAAGTAAATGCTAATATGCAAACTTGGTTCTATTTTGTTAAATAAAATTTATATATGTAACACATTCATAATTTTCACAGAAATTATAAAAATTACGGTAAATTTTGTTATAGTTATACAAAAAAAATTTGCAATGTAGTTTATATTAAAAATGATTTTCATACACCCTTCCCTTAATAAGTTATTAATAATAATCTTCATCATTTGTTGACATTCAGCTATATTTTTTGCGGCTAAATTGACCTTTTTTGTTAAATTATATTGTGATTTAGCATTTGGTGATATTGTTATAGTATCAATAAACCAAAAATTGGTTTGAAGTATAGGCATATCTTGGGGTAAGAATGTGTCTTAAGGTAGTGACAGGTCTTGGAGTTAAAGTTGAATCATGTGATATAAAAAAATTTTGATAAACGTGAATAGTAAAAGATATTGTATTGTAATGTTTCTGAATTTTATTATCAATAAAGGCAGTATCATGTTTTTTGACTTCTTTTCAAGCTAATATACATTCTTGCATTATCTTTTGACGATTTGGCTTAGGGTTACAAATAGTAATACCTGATTAAAATCTTTTTAAAAAATTGTAATTTCGTCAAAAGTTTCATCTCTTTAATATTTTTATATGAATAAATATAAAATTATTATATTTTTTAATGTATTTTAATTTAAGGAATTTAGATCAAGTTAAATATAATTTTGGTAATTAAATAAAATAATTTCGTTATTAATAAAAAACTAGTTTTGTCATTTTGGTTTCGTCAATTTCGTCATATTAAGAAAGGTAATTTTGTCAGATATCATTAGTTACAAAGTATTACTTGTTTGTAATATGCATATGCATTGCAAAGTTCTTGATATTTATTTTGAAGCTGCTTATAAAAAAAATTATTGCTAAAATTTGGTATTTTCAAAAACTTTGTATTGATATTAACTTTTTGTAAAAAGAAGTAAAAAAGCAAAAATATAAAAATATAAAACATATTTTTTCTATGTATTTTCTATATATATCATATGTATTACTGTATTAATCATCATAATCAACTATTGTATAATAATTATTTATTTATGTATTGAGGTAACAAATAGATCATTTCAATTTTGTTGAAAGTTTTGAATATGCAAAAGAAATTTATAGATCAAAAGATAAGTTTATTTATTAATTTTTATTTTTATTTATTTGATTAATTTATAATTTAACTATTCAATCATTCTAGTTTATCAAAAATTTGTATGATTAGGATTGGTAAAAGTTCTAATTGGTTCTAATTGGTCCTGATTAATTTTAAAAAAATTATTAGTTTTAAAAATTAAATTTTTTTTAAATATTATCATTATATTCAATTTTTTAATTA